AAACCTCTGCCTTTTCTGAAACATAGATACAAAACTGACACTGACAGCTAACTGTGGTTACTTTGTGCACCAAGGGACAGAGTTTTTGCCACCAGGACCCCAAGGCTCTGGAATGACCTGCCCAAGGATATAAGGCTGTCTGAGTCACTGGCTTTGTTTAAGTATCTCCTAAAAGTTTACTTCATATCCTGACTTTATCTGAGCTGTCTATTTTATTTCTATCTTACTGATTTTAATGACCTTTTATTATTATTATGACCCTATTTTATCTTGATGACATTTTATGACATGATATTTGTTTTATTCTTCTTGTGTTTTAATTGTGTTTAGTTTTATTGTACAGCTCTTGCTATATAAATAAAGTTTATTATCATTATTATTATTGTTATTATTATCTTACTATATAATGACGAAAACTCTGTCTGTCTGTGTGTCTGTTCCATGTTTTTCTCCTCACTGACTTGGTCAATCCATGTGAAATTTGGCACAGTGGTAGAGGGTCATGGGAGGATGCAAATAAAGCAATATTACATCAATTGGCCAAAGGGGGGCGCTATAGCAACCTATTGAAATTGCAAACTTTGAATGGGCATATCTCAAGCCAAGTATGTCGTAGAGACATGAAACTTTGCACAGAGATGCCTCTCCTCATGAGGAACAAATTTGCCTCAAGAAACCATAACTTCCGGTTATATAGATTTTCGCCATTTTGAATTTTTTGAAAAACACTTCAAATCGATCTCTTCCTAGGAAGTTTGACCGATCTGCATGAAACTCTGTGAACATAATCTAGGGACCAATATCTAAAGTTCCCTCTTGGCAAAAGTTGGAAAACTTACTAAAACTGAGCTTCTATAAGGCAATGAATATTGCGGAGGGTGTGGCTCATCACATAAAGGTGTATAACATCTCAAGGGTTTCACTGATCACCACGCAACTTTGTAGGCATATGACCACACATAATCTGAGGGGACCCCTCCATTATTGACCCCATCAAACAAAATGGGGGCGCTAGAGAACTAATTTCTTATCTAGGCCTAACCGCCATATAGATTTTTACTAAACTTGGTAGATATGTAGAACAGGACGCCTCAAGGTGACTGGAGAAATTTAACTCTAATTGGCAACTGGGTGGCGCTATAACAACAGAAAAATGCTTAAAAATGGCTAAAATGCGACCGATCGCTGTGGCTCCCCCTGTGGCCCAATGTTTGTTTTTTTTCTAATTTTTGGTATGACTAAGTCATGGTATGGTATGCTGTACATAATCACGGAAACTGCCAGTGTGTCATTCTGTCAGTCAGTCATTCTGTCTGTCCCACATTTTTCTACTCACTGACGTGGTCAATCTAAGTGAAACTGCACATAGGCATTGAGGATTGGCATAGGTAGAAGGTGACAAAGCTACCAATGGGTATGGACTAGTTATTATCATTATCACCTGGTACAAATGAAGTTGAGTACAGTTTATTCCTAGGCCTTAATTACAATATATTTTGTGAGGGAGTGGTGTTGCTGTAGTCAAAAAAGTCATTGTATGTCATTAAAAAGTCATAAACAAGTCATGTGCACTTTTCCTGTATGGTCCTCAGTCATATGCTGGCTCCTTAAATTGGCACTCAGTCAGCAAAAAGTTGAGAACCCCTAATCTAAAATTTTTGCTTTCAAAATGCTCTTAAATGGTCAGTGTAGCTGTTTCTAAAAATTCATCCCGAGGTAAATTCCCCCCAGACGCCCCTGGAATTAATCGGGAAAAAAAATTATCTCAACAATTAACAAATTCATCCAGTGCTGGGCCATGATCATGCTCTGATCCACGCAGAAGGCTGACAGTAAGGGAATCATCCGCGTACTTAAGGTGTTGATTGAATGTGCCCATATCAGCTGATACAGATGATGTGCCAATATTATTGTGCATCCCTGGTTTATTCACTTGAGAAATGTCAGGGAAGGAGTGGTTTGTTTCCTCAGCATGTTATGCACACTGAGTCAGATGGTACAAAAACATAAGTTGATGAAACAGTGGCATTTCATTATGCAACTATGAGCTAACAAAGAAGTGAAGAGAAACACAAAGCCAGACGCAGTGATACACATGACACAGTCACCAAGGCCTGTAGCCCCGTACACTGCACTGTATCTTGTGGGTGGCCAATAACAATCATCATCCTTGTCCTCTGTGATGCCTTGTAAATGTGGGGGTTAGGCCACAATGGTCCACAGTAATGATAACAGAAAGTCCACACAGAGCGAGAGATAGACATTACAAGAGGAGGAGAAGGAGAGAGGTGAAGGAGAGGGTAGAGACACAGACATTCGGTGGAAGAGAGAGACACAAACAGAAACAAAAGGAAATGACTGGAAGTCAAGAAACAGTCTCATTTGGGTTTTCTATTAAATACGTCAAATACGTAAGTGTTTTGGGATCTTGTGATTTTTACCAAGCTGATAAACATCTGTTGAAAATTGAATTAGCCCCCAAGTGTGGGCCCACTTCCTCACTGACAAGCATGGGTCTGCATAGGAAGTGAGGCCTGCAAGAACAAGTTCAGATTCAGGGCAGGACTATAGGAAAACTGCAATGTATGAAAATCATTAAAGATTATGTCATCATACAGTTTTGCCGCTTAACCTCATTTTAATGTATTAACCAATTCAGAAAGGGCTGTGCTTTTTACTTTTTGATAATTAAACTGCTTGGAAAACATGACTTCATTCACCAGTGCTGCAGAAGATTTGAATGGAAACGCCATTGTGCAAAAAAGAGTTGACTGCCATCTTGATTTTGGCCTCAGGACCTGGAAAAGATATTAAGTTAAGCCCACAGATATGTGGTCCTCATGAAATCCTGACGTTTGCTGTTAGTGTACTGGAACCACTGCTTGTGCAACATTTCCACATGTAGCCTACTGTTGGGTCACACTAATCCAAGTTCTCCATTTTCCTTCATTTGGTAATGTCTGCTTGCAAACCAAATGTCAATGAAAGCAACCTTTGGACTGATTAGACTGTGCAGTAAGGGGGAAATTATGGAGGTATTTTTGTGTCTTTTTGTAGCAATCATATAAACCCGTTTTGAGAGCATATTTCTTGAACTGCAATCAAAAATCAAGTTTGTAGGTAAAAATGTTTGATCATTTTGCTCATAAATCAGAACTCTTTGCTTGCGAGTTAAAGTTTTGCTTGCAAGTTCAACTGCACTTAATGGGCGGGGCCTACGCTGATGGATGAGAGAAGAGTTTCTATTGGTGGGTTTGACGTGGCTCCACACAGAGCGGGCTACAACCACGATTTCCTCTCTCCCACTGGAAACACTCTACTGTAGGCATTACTGCTACACCCCGGGGCATCGACGGTGCTGACTGTTACGCCGTCGAATAGTTCTGCCCTGGCTAAACAAAAGCAATCTACATGCACCAGTTCAAATATAACATTCTTGCTATTATTAGTTATGTATAAACATACCTGCTAATTGATTTTCACAACAGCTCCCGCACTGAATTCCCCGTGAACTACAGAACTCCCATGTTGCTTTGCAAGCTGTCATTCCGATCAAGACTGGCCAATAGAGACGTGTCTTACAGCTTTCAGTTTAGGCCAGGTTCAACTTTTTACTCGCAAAACTTTTTGACTTGCAAACGGAAAAAAATTACTCGCAAACAAAACTTTTGGATTTGCATTTTTTAATCAATCATTTTTCACTTGCAATAAAACATCTTTGATTGCAATATTGATACTTTTGCTCTAAAATCTTTTTTTTTTGATTGCAAAACCTACTCTGCTTGATTGAATAATAAAGAAACAAATGTAGCTCCATAGGAAATGTGTGGAGGACAGGGATTTGAGGGCTGTGGGTGAAAAAGCATCTTACAGCTTAAGAGTAGAAGCACCATAAAATATTTTTAAAAAAACCTGCATATCATTCTTTGTGATTTACGCTAGCGTGTGTGTTTCAATTCATGGCCCACGTTTGTTATACAAACTTGAAGAAGGATATAGATATGATACAAATGCTCTCAGAACATGGCTTTAAAGAGCTGTTGTTGACATATGTGCCTGTGTTGACACGTTGCCGTCTCTGAGTCATCTTGTGATCTCCTTTAATCTCATCAGGTAGGTCAAGACCTCAGTATGAGACTGAACAGACTGCCATCAAGCCAGGTCACATCCTTGAGGCCATGCTGCCAGTCAAAGCCAGACAGTGTGTGAGCACCTCTGGGGTAAACACAAATGCAGTGCAGGAACCTGTACTGATGTCATCATCATGAAGTCAGGTAGATGTATGCATAAAAAAGCTCTAGGGCTCTGGCCAATGAATACTTTAATTATTGGATTCGATCAAGCCTGAGCATGTTTGGCATTTTTGCTTGCTTAACTGATTTAAATCTTACTGTTTATCAGAGCATGTTTCGCTACATCCAGTCTTGTAGTGGTAGTTGATGAAGTGGGTCACCTACTTGGTAGATGAATAGGTTACGAAGAAGGAATTAGGTATATGTCCTATAAAGCCTATTGCAATGGCTTTTGGCTGACAGGTGGGTATATTGTAAACAACCAGAAAAAATAGTGGGTATACCCCATGTACCTGCTTATACCCTCCACTACACCACTGGCATGCAGGCCTTTTCTTTAATGTTTGGACTTTCTCAAAAGACAAACTTCAGATAACATACCCCTATTTTCATAAGCTCAAATTTATTTTCACAGTAAGCACTTGGCAAAAGAGACAACACAAGTTTTTACGTGAAGAAGTACAAGCTTTTTTTTTTTTTTTTTACGTAACAGATAGACGGTCTGTTTGAACTGGCTGTGTTAAGTAATCTTGTGTTTTCTAAGTAGTTGTATGGTGGTCCGTGTCTGTCTGTCTGTCTGTCTGTCTGTCTGACCAGTCTTTCCCACCATGTAGATGAGGTTACAAGCCTAAACCGGTTCATACGTGGATGGGAGGCCGGTTTCAGCTGGCTGCGTTGCCGTAGTAACGAGCTCTCTATAAATACTGTCGGGCTCTCTTGCCGGCTTCCACTCCAGTTTCAGTCCTAGTAGGGTTGAAACATCCAGTAGCGGATTTCTTTGTGGAGAGAACCCGCTTTATTTTTTTATCCCAGCATTCTGGTCTCATGGACACACTCTTTGTAAATGCTTTTTAAGGTATGCAATGTATTTTCGATATCTCACAACTAACGACGTCACATTTTATCTTAAATGCTTTTTAGCTAACGTTAACGGTAGCAAGTAGCAGGCTGATTCAGTTGTGGCGGCTCAAACAGGACAATGACTTACGGTTGTTTTATTGTTTAAGGGTTGGGTATTTTCGCTACATTACCGTAACTGTAATGCCAATTTGAATCAAAATTGAATCGCTATTGAGTGTTACCTAATATTACGACGTGGCCGGTGTGACAGGCGGCGGGTTAGCTAACGTCATTTTCGCAATTATTATCTTCACCTCGCTAATATTATCTTCACCTCGCTAACTAACCGGCATTACGTTAGCACGTGGTGTTAACTTGTCAGGGCCGTAGACTTCGGTGTGTCGATGTTACGATGAACAAATTCTTATGTTGGCGTTTACTTGGCTGAACCACGTTATCAGGAACTTCATATGCTAGATCACCTCATGGCACGAACGGCTCTACGCGGAACCGGCATATTGACGTTGGCGTCATTTGTTAGTCGCCGATTGGTTCGTATTCACGCCATTCTTCTACGTTACAGGCCTATCTTCTTTGTAACTGGATTAAATCTTGAGTGGGCGGGACTTAAGTACTTTGGGCTTTCAGTGACTTCTCTGTGCAGACGGTACAAAGTAATCATGATTCATGACATAGTAGTTATAGAAAGGAGCGCTATTACACAAGAGGCTGCACGTGTATGTCTTGAGCATGCCACAAGTTTTGTCAATTTTATGACAGAAAGTAATGGTTTAAATAGAATCATCTGTAGCTTTGATAAATTTATAAATATAAAATTGCTTGTAGCTCAAAAACAGAATACATTTAAAGTTCTGCAACTTATTTCCCGACCCAGCTTCCTCCTTTTCAGGAAATGCATTTTTTTTTTTTTTTATTTAAAAAACTTAAAAATGCTCTTGTTCACAGAATCATCACTGTAGGAAGACGCACACTGGCTACTCAGCAGGCCCCGGCCTTGAGTCATATTTGAAGGGATTTAACTTCACCGGTGAGCCCCCTTGGCTTCTCTGCACCTGAGGAATAGCAACACTAAATTTCATCTCTTTCATATCCAAGTAAGTGTCTCACTTTCTGCAGTTTGAGCTTGATTCAATACTGCATTGCCATCTTAAACCGATTACACTGTAACACAATTGTTATTCAGTCAAGAACTATGTTTTGGGAATTGTTCACAGTTGCACCGTTTGAGATTTGCCTAGGAGTGGGTAATAAAATGGGCTTTCATTATCACAGGCACAAAAGACACCATGTTCTCAAAGCTGAAAGTAATCTCGATATGTCCTCCACCCCCTTTTCAGTTTACTAGTGACTAATCAAAAGGACTTCTTGTGACCATGAACACTGCCACTGCCACTGAGGTTGACTTCTCTTTCCTGGAGGAGGGCTTCTCTGCCCGGGATATTGTTGAGCAGAAGATCAATGAGTCATCCATGACGGTAAGCATCCTGTGCTGACATTGTTTAGGGGATCAGATGGCACCATCTGTTCAGTGAAATCAACAGGATGCAACTGAAAGCAAGCAGTTTAAATGACCTCCTACTCACTTGTTCAGGTTACTTGAATTGCTTTGTCTGAATTGTATTTCCTTTATGTAACTCTTGAGACCATGGTGGTGTAAATGTCAGTTTTAATATTGCACACAGTGCTTATTGTTCACAATGTATCATGTGATATTCTATGTTTTAAAATGTTTTTGTTTAATGCATATGTTCCCTTTCTTTATTCGTCCCTCCATTACAGGATGACAGGGATGCCTTCTACGTCTGTGACTTGGGAGATGTACTAAAGAAACACCTGCGCTGGGTGAGGGCCCTGCCTCGCGTCACTCCTTTCTATGCTGTCAAATGCAACGACAGCCGGGCTGTAGTTATGACGCTGGCATCCCTGGGAACTGGCTTTGACTGTGCAAGCAAGGTGTGTGTTGGAAAATTCCCATAGCACTAGGTGCTCTCTGAATAATACGATGCAAAGCTCTCTTGATAAACTTGCTGAAATTGCACTGGCAGCTCGTGTTTTTAAATTAGCACTTTTTTTTCGCTGACTCTTGGCATTGTCCCCCTCTAGACGGAGATTCAGATGGTTCAGTCTCTGGGAGTGGATCCAAGCAGAATCATCTATGCCAACCCCTGCAAGCAAGTTTCTCAGATCAAGTATGCGTCTGCCCATGGTGTCCAGATGATGACTTTTGATAGCGAGGTGGAACTCATGAAAGTGGCCCGCTGTCATGACAATGCCAAGTGAGACATTTTACCATTCACAATATGAAAGCTTCAGTGGCATTTTATTTTTTACCCATCTGCCTTCTTGTCTCATTTTCTTTGTCATTTACCATGTTTCTGCTTTGTGTCCAGGCTGGTGCTGCGTATTGCCACAGATGACTCAAAGTCAGTGTGTCGCCTGAGTGTGAAGTTTGGGGCCCCACTCAAAGCTTGTCGAGGTCTTCTGGAGCGTGCTAAAGAACTGGAGCTGGATGTGATCGGCGTCAGCTTCCATGTTGGCAGCGGCTGCAATGATCCTGAGACCTACACCCAGGCTATTGCTGATGCCCGCTGTGTCTTCGATATGGGGGTGAGTTGTGACAGAGATGCATGTACAACTGTAATAAAGTGTGTGTTTCACCCAGTGTACTAAACTGAGAATCTGAAATTTGTGACCTCTAGGATGAGCTGGGCTTCAACATGGACCTGTTAGACATTGGAGGGGGTTTCCCTGGTTCAGACGATACTGAACTCAAATTTGAAGAGGTATCTTGCAAATTTTCAATCATGTGCTATTTCATGGGCTTAGCAAGTCTTTGTACATTTAGCTGCAACATCAGTAGCACTACCTCAAGATAAGTGCTTTTTTATAGTCTGATATATATTTACCTGTGGACACTTTTTCCCCTTGCTAGATCACAGCAGTAATCAATCCAGCCCTGGACAAGTATTTCCCTGCAGACACTGGTATCAGGGTCATTGCTGAGCCAGGCCGCTTTTATGTGGCCTCTGCTTACACACTGGTTGTCAACATCATTGCCAAGAAAGTCATCATGGACGATGAATCAGCCTCTGACGGTAACATATATGTATTTAGAACAATTACTATGATTTTAGAAAATGACTTGATTCTTAAATATTTGTAACATATCTCAATATTAAAATGATTTTGTGCTTTTCTTTACAGAGGAAGACGAGGGGACCAATGATAGAACCCTGATGTACTATGTCAACGATGGCGTGTATGGATCCTTCAACTGTATACTCTATGATCACGCTCACTGTTTGCCAACACTAAATAAGGTAAGTGGAATTCAAGGATTGGAAAAAGTAGCAAAGTTTCTCCTCATACATACAGGTCAGTGAAAGGTGAAACAACTGGTAATGGATCATGTCGTCTTTTTTTTTTTTTTTTTTTTTTTTACCCACCCCCCTCTCCTTTTACTAATAGAAGCCAAAGCCAGATGAGGTCATGTACCCCTGCAGTATCTGGGGCCCAACATGCGATGGCCTTGATCGCATTGTTGAGCAGTGCAACCTGCCTGACATGCAGGTAGGCGACTGGCTGGTCTTTGAGAACATGGGTGCCTACACTGTGGCCGCCGCCTCCACCTTCAACGGCTTCCAAAGACCTGACATACACCACGTCATGTCCCGTACTGCCTGGTGAGTAGATGGTTGTCCAAAGTAGTCTGCTCATGAGGAAACTTTAAGTGGATCTTATGACAGTCTTAACTTTTATCTGCATTGTCCTCTACAGGCAACATGTGCAGCAGATTTGTTCCCAGGGCATGCCAGCTCCTGTGGAGGAGTCTTGCCTGTTTGAAGTGCCAGCCTGCTGCGGTCGAGAGAGCAGCTTGGAGATGCCCACTAAGCCCTGCCAGGCCCACGTGGTTTCAGCACATAATGTTCTTCAGATCTAGCATCCTTTTTGTTATTAATTATTGGAGAAGGTTCTCTATCCTTCCACCCCCCCCCCCCCCCCCCCCCCCCCCCCCCCCCCCCCCCCCCCCCCCCCCCCCCCCCCCCACCTTTTCCCCCACCTTTTCCCCAAATGTACGTGACATTTCAAGGCCAGTTACTTGACAGGAGAATGAGAGGGACATGTTGTTGCACAAATTTCTGTGTTCTGTATGGAAGCGGGGATCAACCCTCAATGAAATGAGGCTGAATCACACTCTGAGTGTCTCTGTGTGTGTTACAGGGCAACTCTGTACTTAAACTTGTTGCTGCAGTCTTCCCACCAGAATTTGGAGGAATGACTGTAGGAACTGGAGTACTGTAGTTCATAAAGAAGCTATTTGCTCAACAGAATTAGTGTAGGTAGGGAGAGAAACCTTTGCTTTGCAGAATAAATCGCCAAGCAACTACTTCACTGTTTCACATCACCATAGGACTCACAACACGTGAATCTGTAGCTTAAGTCCGAAAGGTGAAGGGTTTCTTATGCTATTAATACTATGAAAAAGAATAGTAGCAGATTGCTTCCACCCTAGGCAATCACTAGTGCTGACTCACCTGCAAAATATAGGGTGACCCTTTTAAAGCCCTGTTAACATCTGAAGTGGCATCCCTTGCTAGTTGCAAAGAGGTGGTTGGAGGGGTGATTTAATTCCTCAAACATGGCTGCTATGTTTCTATTTATCTTTTCCATGATCTCCACTTCTGTACAGAACCTCTCAAGTGTTAATCAGCCAACACTACAATTGTGATCAATAACAAATCTTCAAGATTAACACTTAAAATACAGGGACTCAAGAAGCAGACTGCACCTCTCCTCTTCTCCTCCTTATTTTATTTTTACTTTTTGTAACTCTTAGAAGGCAAGAAGTCTGTTCTGATATTAATAAGAAGCAGTGTTAAACCATACATTTGAAATGGATATGAAAGAGACGGGATTGCAAATTCATAATGCTTTCCTATGGAAACTTTTTGAAGTTTTGTATTTTTTTAATAAATAAAACATTAGGCGCAGAGCCGAATAATAGATGTTGTGTTTCTTTGTACATGTGGGGTAAAAATATTAAAATGCATTGACTGGACTGTAGAACACTATTCACAGGGTGTCTCAACAGTTCCACCTAGTGTTCAAAGCTGGAACTGATTTGAAAACAGGTCTGCCTGTGATGGATTAATTTCCCCTCTTGTGGCTGTTACCCCTTGACTGTTGTTGCATACACTTGCAAGGTGATTGATCTTGGATGCCAGCATAGAATCATCACCCTTAAGTATACCCTTTTACTTAGATAGCACTCAGATATGTTTCATGTGGACCTGGAGTGTAGATTATCAAGCCAAGCCTGACCTTTCGTGGAGTTCACAGAATGCAGCAACTGCATTATATAACATGCCAAACCTTAGAGATAACAAATCAACAGAGTCACTTCACTTACATAACAGTTTTCACTGAGACCTTAAGGGTAAATGGGAATATATGGTGTGTGTGTGTGTGTGTGTGTGTGTGTGTGTGTGTGTGTGTGTGTGTGTGTGTGTGTGTGTGTGTGATGTGATGTGATGTGATGTGAGTAATCTGACCCTTAATAGTTTATTACTCTGTAGTAACAGTAATATGTTGATACATGCATATATTCATATATATTCAATACACCTAGTTCTTACATTTACAACATGTTTTACATTTAGGCATAGTTAAGTGACGTAACATCCATAAAGTTAAGGCCTTTGTTTTGTATTTTAATGTATACCTTTATATCGTATATTTCTTTCCGCTATTCCTTCACAGTTTTTGAGTTATTTTAGGTAACACATTGTATTTGGAATAATAATCTATTGTGGCAAATAGAGGCTTTTTAAGTGTGGCTGGCTGTCTGGTGTGTGGTTGTGTTTTATATGTGTCAAGGAAAAGTTCAGACTGTAAAAAATGTATCTCCAAATCCATGTTGGTGCAGTGAACGCCCATGGACAAAATTTCAAGGCACAAAGGAGGTGCTGGGGTATTTACAAAGTAACTTAAAGTTTAATTATTAACTTACTCAGTCATTTGTTATTCATACATGATTTATTCATTTACTCCATATACAGCCCTTTTTGACAAAACATCACTCTTCACAGATGTTAAACATACACCTACATATCATATCTTTGAGTTATAGAGCGTAATACGTTATAGCGTAATAGGTTATAGATTTCAAATTACCCTGTTTGTACCATTTTAATGACTTCATCAAAATAATGTAACTTATTACATTTGATTACTATTTGATTTATTCTGGGAAATAAAGCTGAAAAATTACATTTTTCTTTCCTCAGTAACTGTAACTGAGTTAAAATACATTTATTTTGTATTTCGATTACATGCAACTAGTTTCATGTAACCAGTTGCTTCCCACGACTGTTGTCAGCTGATACGATTTAATTATGTACATTATTCTGTATACACTATTTAAACAGTGTGCATTGTCAACGATATGCTGTTTACTGAAAATGTTACACTCTACCTTATTCTAAAAGTGTAGGCTTCATTATACTCTATATATTGTTTAAATTGTGTATACTAGTCCATACCCATTGAGTGCACAGTTGCCCATGTACAGTTTCACATGGTGTGTGTTTGGGATACAGGTCATAGGAAATTGCAGATTAAATAGTCAACTGAACCCATTAAGAAGAGCAATGTATTCAGACAGAGTTTTTGTGAATTTAATACTACGATTGCTTTATTGAAAGTACAGTAGTACCATTGCCAATAGTGGGATAGTTAGTGGGCTAAAACTGGACATTAGTAGTTGAGGTAGCACGTAGAAAGGCAGATAGTTAAAGTGTTTATATATGGTATTGACTTAAAAGTGGGGCGCACTGGTAGTTCGCATGGGAAAGGTGCGGCTAGCCCTTGTTGCAGCAGCATACCATACCATGATTTAGTCATACCAAAAATTAGGAAAAAAAACAACATTGGGCCACAGGGGGAGCCACAGCGATCAGTCGCATTTTAGCCATTTTTAAGCATTTTTCTGTTGTTATAGCGCCACCCAGTTGCCAATTAGAGTTAAATTTCTCCAGTCACCTTGAGGCGTCCTGTTCTACATATCTACCAAGTTTAGTAAAAATCCATATGGTGGTTAGGCCTAGATAAGAAATTAGCTCTCTAGCGCCCCCATTTTGTTTGATGGGGTCAATAATGGTGGTGTCTCCTCAGATTATGTGTGGTCATATGCCTACAAAGTTGCGTGGTGATCGGTGAAACCCTTGAGATGTTATACACCTTTATGTGATGAGCCACGCCCTCCGCAATATTCATTGCCTTATAGAAGCTCAGTTTTAGTAAGTTTTCCAACTTTTGCCAAGAGGGAACTTTAGATATTGGTCCCTAGATTATGTTCACCGAGTTTCATGCAGATCGGTCAAACTAGGAACAAATTGAAGTGTTTTTCAAAAAATTCAAAATGGCTTAAAATCTATATAACCAGAAGTTATGGTTTCTTGAGGCAAATTTGTTCCTCATGAGGAGAGGCATCTCTGTGCAAAGTTTCATGTCTCTACAACATACGAGGCATGAGATATGCCCATTCAAAGTTTGCAATTTCAATCGGTTGCTATAGTGCCCCCCTTTGGCCAATTGATGTAACATTGCTTCATTCACATCCTCCCATGACCCTCTACCACTGTGCCAAATTTCACATGGATTGACCAAGTCAGTGAGGAGAAAAACGTGGAACAGACACACAGACAGAGTTTTCGTCATTATATTGTAAGATTGTAGACGAAAAGTAAAAAGTAACCACATTACAAAAACAGACACTTGTGCTGACCTTGCATACACACTGCAATGGTTTTTTAAAACTGACAATTCAAAGGAGTCAGGACGATAGAATATCTTAATTTCTTTACAGAACATGTTATGATTTAGCAGCAGAGGTAATACAGCAGTAAAGTAAGTGTTCCGGTTACAAATGCATCACTGACGCAACTGTTAGAGCTTCTAATAAATGCATACAAGTAGCAAATACCACTGCAAATGTTTTGCATATGACAGACCCAAGTAGTACAGTGTGCACGCAGTGTGTGACTGATGACTGATTTTCATTTACATACATGAGGAAACACCAACCAAATTATCTAGTCACCATTACAGTATACAGTGCAGCAGTGTGATAGTCAAGTTACGCAATATATATATAGGAAACAAACAGAATTTAGCCTGAACATCATATTTGGTATACTACTCCTGCATAAGTGTTAAGCATGTAAACCTTTTAAAAGCTTTACATTATAATATAAAACTAAATCAAAAGCACACAGAATCAAATGTCTTTAAAAATGACAGCTCAAGAGAGTAGGGATGATAAACTTTATTTCTTTTTAAAATATGCCATGTTAAAGCAGCAGTGGTGGTAACAGCAGTAAAGTCGGAGTTCTGGTTACAGATGTATCATTGACACAACCTTGAGAACTTCTTATAAATGCATACAAGTGGCAAATACTATACAGACACAAGTAGTATAGTGTACATGCAGCGTGTGACTGATGGCTCTCTAATTGTTAAAGGAGCAGGTTGTCTATCTGGGAAATACATTTATTCAGCTTCTGACGGATAGTTAGATGACTAGGTGGATAGCACTCTCGTGTTTGTTAAATACAAAGGCTACATAGACTGGAAAAAGGAAAACAAGATAGTCAACAAAATAAAATCTGCCTACCACCCTAACTAAAGCTCGTTACACGCCATATTTAATTTGAGTAAGTGTAAAAATGATGTGTAGTTTCACCACAAGACGTATTTCTGTGCGGGAATTGATGTAGATATGCATGTGAAATTATCACTTCACCACAGCCTCACCTGTTTGCTCATAATGCTTCCTGATGTACGCAGTAATGGCGCTCTTGTTATTAATCTCTTTCCTGAACACCATAATGTAACACTTTGGGGCCAAGTGACAGCCCAGGATGCTGTAGCTAGAAATGAGAATGGCTGCGCTTTCAATAGCTCGTTTGTACTCCCCAGTCATTGTGATATATATCGGGATGAAGAAAATCCAGACTATTAAAAACAGCAGCATGCTGACGGTGATTAAACTTGCATTTTTATACAGATCTGGCAACTGTTTGCCTTTGAATGCAATCAGGAAACAGATCAGGGCCAAGAGAGCGTTGTAGCCTAACATTGCAATAAAGAAATAACTGGAGCCTTTGTGACACTGATGCAGGATGGTCTGGTTTGAATCCTTTGGGTCAGGGTGTGGGGGATGAAAACAAAGCCATGACACACACAAGGCCACCTGGATCCCAGAGACGACAGTCACCACAAGCACCGGCTGATTGAACTTCTCAATCCAGGATCCTATCTTCAGGTTAAAGTTGAAGCCCACTAAGATTTGGAGAAGGTTGGCCAGGATGCAGGAGATGCAGAGGGAGAAGACTATGCCGAAGAGAGGCAGGCCTGCCATGCAGGAAGCTGCAGTGGGTTTTCCTGCGAAGTTGAATGTGAGGCAAAAGCAGGCCAGCAAGGAAAAAAGCTCCAAGAAACACAAGTAACCTCCAACAGCCTTCACAATGGGAGTGCTTCGATTGATTATAAACAAAATAGCAAACACAATGGTAACAATTATACCAAAGACTTCCAAGCAGCTTAAAAAGATAACGAAGGGATCTGACCGTTCTAGGAATTCAACAGTTTTATTCAAACACCTATCCCTCTGTGGAGACGAAAACTCCTTTAAACCGCAGGGTTTACACTCCGCACCTATAGAGGCAAACACAGACATGCAAATTTAAGTGCATGAGGGAAGCATATCATGAAAAAAAATTCCATTGAAAAGGATTATGTGACTGAATATAGAAAGTCCTGTTTTCCATACATGAGAAAACACCAAACCACAGCCTCTGGTCACCATTACAGTAAACAGAGCAGCAGTGTGACAGTCAAGTTACACTTCTTACTCTTCTGTTGAAGAGAAAGTATGTAGATATAAATGGCTCATTGCAAGGTAACAAAGACTTGACAGTCCATAGTTCCAGGTGATTAGAAACTAATGAAAACATAGTTGTGAATATTATATACCATTTCTGCCAATAGATGCACACTGGACCTTTCAAGGGACTAAAACAAAGTCAAGTAGTAGGCTAGAATAAAAGAGTTTAAACAGTAAAATAAAAATTACAATGTAGTGCAAAATATGTATAAAGAGTCCTAAACAGAGTGCCCCAGTAATGAGTCCTAAAACCTGGAAATGAGTTAGCATTTTAGCACTTCCTGTTCCCTTGTCTTAAAGTCAATGGGTTTTTTGAATGGGTTTTTGGTTAGATGCCTGAAATAAGGTCTGTGGTTAACATCAGTTTAAGAGACTTTCACACTTTGTTACAAGACGTACACCAGTAAATACACTACTTGTGAATTTGGAAGCCTTTCCGTGTCTTGAGACATTTGTGTGTCTAGATGAGACTGCAGAGCATCATCACAATAAACAATAAACAATAATAATAAACCGCGCTGAACACAACTCCACAACCTTGTTTTGGTGGCGACGTTAAAGTCATGCAACCATGATAGATAGATAGATAGATAGATAGATAGATAGATAGAAACTGAGATTCATAATAAAGCACTCACCATTTCCGGCAGAAAACTCTCCATCTGCACAAGGAACACAATCATAGCAGCACTTTTTGCCATGCTTCTTCAACTGTTGTCCTGGTTGGCAAGTTTTAGAGCAGTTGTACACTGTGACCTTTAAAGACAAAACAGAATTGGTACAACATGATATTTGGATAGAGATATAGATTATTTGGGGAAATAAATCTATGATGAAATTTTGATCTTACCGTCACATTTTGAACAAGATCATTTGGGACTTTGATTTCTCCATTGGGCCAGTATTCTCCAATGGTTGTTATGCGTGTGAGCACTGTAGTCATGTTCCAATATACAATATCATATCCTAACCTTGTGGGGTCTCCATTGTGGTCAAAGACTATATGTGAGTTGTGTACATTGAAGTTGACTTTCTTGATTTCCATAAGAAGCTGTAAATATAAACATAAACAAAAGTACAATGATGTAAAATGAAAGAAATGTTCTTAGTATTGCCTCTGATCTAGCAAAATGACAAACCATTAAACAGGAAATATTTCATACAGGGGATTTCCAAAGATGTTGGAAAATTTGTAGTGTAAGGATATTATAGGTAAATTTATTCAATAACAAAAAAAGTCATCTTCATGTTTGTTCATGTGTTTGTTTGTTCCCACTACCAGTAGCTTAGCTTAGCATAAGGACTGGATATGGGGGGGGGGGGGGGGCTACACTGGGCTACAAGCACCTCTAAAACTCAGTAATTCACATAATGAGCCTGCATCTCACTAGTATTATCCGTTACGTGTAAATTGCAGTTTTATGGGGGTTCCTGCCGTAGTTCCAGGAGTAGTTCCTGAAGGTTTTCATTGTTTTGCTAGCAACCTCATGGTGACGTCATGACTTAAGTTAATCTTAACACTTCTTTGTCAATGGATTAAATAAACACAATGTAACTTGTTCATAAGTGAGCTTTAAAAGTGCTGGTTGGTCTTTCCCTCCAGTCTTTATGCTAGGCTAAGCTAACTAGATGCTGGCTGTACCCCTATATTTACCAGACAGATAGAGTGGTATCAATCTTTTTATCATCAAGCATATTTCCAAAAAAATACAATAACATATAACTTTACTGTACCTCCAAGGCTGTAAATTTGGTATTACGTTCACACTTGTGGTTGTCACACTTAAGCAAGCGCCTGAGACCCTCAGCAATGACTTGAACAGCCAGGTAGACATTGTATACTAAATCCTGGTCAATATAAGTGGCTAAGCAGCTTGGGTCCAGACATTGCTTGGACCCCTGTTGGCTGTTTGTTAGCGAGCAGTTACTTTCTCTGTTCTCCTCAGACTGGTAAGAACAAAGTGGATAGCGAGTCAGGTAATCTTCAAGAATGGCGTTCGTGGTCCCGTTGAACATGGAGATGACATAGTCTTTAAAACCAGACAGCTCGTGCCTCTTTGAGATGAATCCGAAAACCTCCCCAGCCATCTCAATGCCTGGCAGTGAAGAGAGCTCTGTAGAGGTGGACCATGTATCACTTGCAATCCAAGTTCTGTTGAGGTTGTGTTTAATAGCTGCTTCAATGATGACAGCAACATTGACTTCCTTGGTGAACAGGATGACGGCCTCGGCAGAGGACTTATTGATATTGCTTATCAGCTCAGCCTGTCTCTTGTGGGCTTCCGAATTGTTCTGGGAGAAGTAATCAGGCAGGATGCTAATGAAGTCAATGCAGGGATCATTTGTTTCACTAAAGATGTTCTCAAGGTTATCACTGCCGTACTTCCCGTACTCATCATCACTTCCTACAATGGCCACTGTTTTCCAATTATACCTCTTCACCATTTCAGCAATGCCCCTTGTCTGAAATTCATCACTAGGTATTGTTCGCAAAAAAGTGGGGAACTTCAACTTCCTGCTGAGAAGCTCACTAGTTGAAGCATAGCTAATCTGTAACAAACAGGAGTAAATCATGTTAAAATTGTTCTGCTCTGTTTGCAACAGTGACCAATCTAGATTTAAACACAAAATATTACATTTATAACAATTTTTGCATTAAATATTACAGATTCTTAGATTTAGATAGGAATTCTGCTATAATCTCATCATTAGACTCAAACTATGCAAAGGCATCAGAAACATATTGCATTTTTAAATGTAGTTAATGGGACACTATCAAGTACAGAGAAGACATACCTGGGCAACTGATGACAGAGCAACAATTCGTGCAACAGCTATTGATACTTCAGAGAAAGCTTCGCCTATCACTGCCTTTGTTTTGGGTTCAGTTAAAGCAGATTGAGAGCTTGCAGGTACTAAACAGCTTTGAGGGTCTGACTGGCTCTTCAGCAACTGGAGTGTTGCACTGATGGCAAAGCTGGCATCTCCGCAGGTGTCATAGATGTCATATCCTATGGTGATGTTGGGTAGAACCCTTGGTGTGCGCTGGTTTATTTCTCTTATGGCGTATATCATCACTTGACTGCGAAGGAACGATTGGACAGCATAGCTGCAAAGATTGACAGAGGAAAGATGGAATTTCCACAGTTATATATATTTCTATCATACTCATGTCAGTGACTAATTTCAATGAGAGCATACTTACTCACGGCAGGCAAGTGATCCAGGCATTGTGCTCCTGTTGGTTTGTAAATGAATAGGGAAAAGTCCTCCAATGATGATGTCCCCCGGAGAGTATGCACGCAGAAGACCATTCTCTCCCGAACAAGGGCAAAATAAACCCACAATACTGACAAATAACCATGACAAGGACATGGTGGATGTGCAGGGGTAGAACACTACATGTACTGTATGCATTTGTTTTTCTCTCCTAAGTATAAACTGGTTCCTGAATAATGCCTCTCATGTAACTTCCCTTTACAGAAAGTCTGGATCATTTGCATTATCAGATGGAGTCTGTAACTAAATGCAAAACACCCCCTCTTACTAATACATCCTCAAAACACTCCCTTGGCAACAAACCACTACATTACCACACACAACCACTACTTTGAACCATTTATCCAGGAGGATTTACTCACAGTTATATAGAAACTTTGTGTTCATACAAATGAAGCTCTTGTGAAAGTTCAGTCAGGAAGACAATACTTTTCATGCTCAAGCTATCAGTTTTCTTTCTCACCCTGCCATTCACTCCTCGCACACATGCTACTCACTATCACTAGGTGTCATTGTCAGGGTCTGTCAGTTGAATCATCGGCTGCTTTTCAGCTGATTCACAATCAACCAATAGCACAGCGACACACCTTTCTCTGTCAGCCTATCATCCGACTGCTCCTCATTTTAAATATGGCTCTTTCTCTGCCGCGGTTCTTTCTTGCTGCAGTCGTGCGCACTCTCCACCTCCCCATCACTGAATAGTCTTCACAGATTCATCAGCCTCATGTGCCTCAGCAGTCAGCAGCCTCAGAGTCAGCAGCCACCACCTTAAGGGTCTGGACTCCATGGGGGAATTTATCTTGCTGCCGCTTAGATGTCCCCCGATCACAAAATATCTCCCTCTGGTGTCCATACGCCAAAGACTTCTGTTAAATCTTAATCAGTATCCATATTAAATATTATCTTTACTTCATTCCTCTGTCTCTCCTGATTGGACTATATCAAAAGTATGTATATTTCAATCTGTGGGGTGAAACTGTGGAAGAATTCAAGAGAAACACAAACCTAACTCAGTACAAGAAGAGATACAAAAATATTATTTTCCAGAGTTATTATAACACCGAGGAAAGGCTGTGAAGACAGCTAAGTGTTACTGACACAGTATGACATTCGTGTTGTACATACAACTTGATGTTAATGAATGAATTAACGAGTAGAAGAGAAGGAGAACGAAACAATAACTGTATACTCCCTCCTACTCCTTATCAAAAATGTAAGATTTGATTTTTGCTGTTAACTAGAATCTGTTTATTGAATTTGTTGTGTATATTATCATCCATCTCAGTTGTTATTTTGTTTTGTTTTTATTTTATGTTTATGTTTGTTTTACATGTAATTACATGAAATAAAAATCAATCAAGCAATCACGAGCAATCTCTATGACTGCCTATCTTCAGATCACAGACTGGTTTAAAACAGGTGTCTGTATCTGAATACATTTTGAATTATACAATGGCTCTGTTAAGGTCAGTGACCACGAAACTGTATGACTGTGGTGCAGTTTGCAGAAGAATCCACAAGAGGGTGACATGCCACATGCAGTAAATGCTCTCGGAGCACCTTGTACCTTGAATTAAAAAGGTTTGTGTTTTAGTTTATAATGAGTCATACCATCATCCTAATTTGTTCAGTTATCAGAGTAATATGGAGCTAATTCTATATATGTATATGTGTTTTGCACAAGAAGTCCTAAAAGTGCTCAGAACAAAGCAACATTTGAATATCTACAGTTCCAGAAGAAGCGTGTACGTGGACCTTAAATTGAGATTGTTTTGTCAGCTGATGTTTCCCAGGTTAAGGGTGAACTGTTAAGCTCAAAGGCCATTTCTGGTATGTTTATTGCTTATTTTGTCAGCAGAGGTCAGAACTGTAAAACGTATTACAGTACATGTGATGGAATACTGTACATGGACATTTAGAGTTGCTTGTTTGCAACACTGAATTTAAGTCAAACTACTAAAACAGTTTTAGTAACTGTTCCAGCTTCTGAAAAGAAACTAAACATATGCAACATTAGCATCTTCTCAGGACAAATGATTATAACCAGTGATAGAAGCAGTACGAACATCTCTTACTTAAATAACACCACACTATAAAAATACTATGTCACTCAAAAATGTACATATATCATTATTGGATTATAATAATATATAAGCTGCATTTTAATGTCTGTTTTCTGTTTGAGGTGGAACTAATTTTATTACTACCTGTAGCAGTCCCATATGAAAAGGCACATTGTATTGTTCGTTAATTTAACAATAATATATAATATACTAATAAAAATGAGTGTGAATGTATTTCAGAATGTAGAACTCAAGGAAAAGTTTGTTAAATTCTTGTGCAGAATTACAGAGAAGTAGCAGTAACTGCTGCTGCTCTGTAACCACCCTCTCTTGCGCACTCCTTCTCTCACTTCCCCCAAATGTCTCTGGATTGGGCCTCCTATTCCCCACGCCTTGTGGGCAGTGGAGGAAATCATATAAATAGGCTACAGTCAGCTGTGGAAGTGAACCCAAGTGCATCCAGACCAGAGGCGTGTGGAACACAACTGTGCGCAGGCAACATGACCTCATTAACGTGGGGACTGCTCTGTTTCATTGGCATCCTGGCACCGGGAACTCTGGGAACTTTCCCACAGTTGGGGTCACGCAACCGGCAGATCCACTCAATTAGTCCTTTGAGCCCACGAGTATCCTCGCAAGTCCCTCCAAGGGTTTACCAGAGCTTTGAGGATATCAAATCTATTGAACACACCTCTGATGAAGTACCAAGTGCTGAAACTTTTCAAGAGGTCCAGCTGGGTGGTGACACATCCCGAGGCTACCAGCAACAGCAGGGTGCCCAACCGGGTGCCAACAACAACCTGGTGCAGGACAGGCGAATTGCTGGCAATAGAGGTTGGTTGATGTTATGTGTCCGAAATGTTCAATATCAATGTCCACCCACCTGCTTTGCACGCATGCAATAACCCTCTCAAATGTTTTCCATACATTTGTTATGGTTTAAACTTTTTTTATTGTTATTTGGACAAAACTTTAAAAGAAACTGACTATACCTGTTATAAATGATAATTGTTCTGCTTCTACTATATATAATACCAGTAACCTGTATGATTTTGTGTGCACAGTGTAGTCCTATGTATACCCCTCATGTATAATACATTCCAGTCACTGGACTAAGTTTAAATAACTTGCAATCCCTTTAAAACCCAGAGGGCTGTTCAACAACACATGCTCTTCTAGCCATATGGGTTTAAAAGTATTAAAACCAATTACTATCCTATTTCCAAAATTAGTACAAGTTTTCCTATCCAAGTAGCCAGAAATGGCTTAATGTTCTTGTCCTTTTTGTAATACACAATAAAAATATTAATGATTTGTTGCCATTTTGACGAACATATAAAATATTCATCAATAAACACACCAATATAAATGATAATGAAATGTTAAACTTAATTAATGTTATAACTGAGCAAAGATTAATTAAAAGATTGATTTCATTAAGAAAGTCAAGCACAAAATCACAGATGTTTAGAACCTTTGAGGATTTTGGTGATACCATCAGAGCAATAGTTTAACACTGAGGCAGTTTGAGACTCCAATGTAATGTTAATACATGAGAGTCACATGGCACTGTGTTAAAATGACCTTATTATTCTCCACAGTCATAATTAGAATGTCAATGTACCAAAAGTGTACAGCAAATATAGCAGCCCAAAAATTATGTAATGCATACTCTTTTCCCTTCTGTGATATTCACATTGAAAAGCTGTTATTTAGCCAATAATAATTACGCATGCCCGTCATGTTGCATCTCATTTTGCTGTAGTCAAACCAAAGTACTGCTCTAATGTTCTCCCCTCTGTCTTTTCCCCTCCTTCGGAAAAGCTGGTGGCACTAATTCCAGGTTTCATCGCTATCAGTCCTCCCATCAGCAGCAGCCAAAGAAAAGCCAGCCGCTCTCACAGCTGCAAGACAAAGCTGCACCGTTTGCATCCTGGCAGCCTGCACGAGACTCAAGCAACTCTCCTGCATCCTTCAGAGCTGAAGCAGGTACTTAGCTTTAGCCATAACTAACATGTTCTTATTCACTTCACAAATTACAGATATTTAGTTGTGGACAGGCATAACTGGCAAGATTTTGTGGCATACATGCCTCCCAGATATTTGTCTAATAAGGTTTATATGTCATTTATTAAACTGAAAACATAATATTTTACACGGAAGAGGATAAAAGTCCATTGATATTGAAAATGAAATCATTTGGAACACATGGAGCAGCCACAAATATCTTAAGTTCCTGGCCGAAAATTTGGTTACTGTATTAATTATATATAAGTATTTCCATTTTATGCTACTTTATACTTTTACTCCACTACATTTTGGAAGCTAATATTGTGCTTTTTACTCCACTACAATTATTTGACAAATTAAATTACTTAAATTACTGCAGATTGGGATTATTAATACAAAATATAAATCAACTCATAAATTATGATATCTTATTATAGGTTAAGGTACAGCAGTATGTAAGGTAATTAAAATGAGCTCCACATTTACCAGCTGCAACATTAAAGTGATGAACATATGAATGCATCAATAATTATAATCCAGTAATATAATATGAATCTAAAATGAGCTATCCTGCATCGTGAGTACATCTACTTTTAGTACTGTAAGTGTTTTGATGCTGACAGTTTTCTACTTGTATATACTTGAAATACAGATTTGAATGCAGGACTTTTACTTTTAACATTCAACATTTAACAGTCATTTCTGAAATGTTGTACTGCTGCTTTGACTCAAGTAAACGATCTGAATACTTTCTTCACCACTGTGGATTAGTGTGCTGCCATGTGATACATTATTATACCTTTTGAAGGGCCATTCAAATAACAAAAGGACTGTTCACTTATTTGCCTATGACCTGATGGAAAATATAAAGTATTTACAAGTGAGATGTTGGCTGTCATGGTATTCTAGTAATTATCTCTGGTCTCCTAAATTGAAGCACTCAAATGTAATTTGAACAATACAGCTTTTTTCTCAATTAATTTAAAAATATCTCTAAGTCAATTAGCCAAAGAGACAGACTATGTTTCAAACTTTGTGTGCTTTAGCAAGTGTGTGTACAGTAGCCTATTTGTGTGCAGAGATACAGAGAGAAGACCGAGATTTCTACTACCACAAAATGGGAGCGCTCTTGTACTGTATCTTTGATCAGCCCAGTCGCTAGAAGAAAATGTTGTCATTGTATGTTTCTGCTAATCACAAATACGTTACATTTGTACATTTTTTACGTATCATATCAATGTTTCTATAATGACTTAGGGTATGGGCTGACATTGTCATTGGGAGGCAGAGTGTGTCACATACATGAGATGCCTGCCAAACTGCAGACCACTGCAGGCTGCTGTTTGAGACCAACAAACAACAATCCCGGTTTTATTTTAGCAAGTCATTGCTTTGTTTTCAGTGGCTTTTCAGCCAACAAACCTGGGTGTTTTTCAGGGACCCTTCGCTGTTTTTCTGGGCCAAGAAAAGCGATTGTTTTTTTCACCAAGACATCACTGCATTTCCTGCCAGGATAATACCACAAAAAGTGATTGTTTGTAAGTGACATTGCTGCTTTTTCAGCAGGGATTTTGCTCCCCAGACAAGATATTTTAAGCTATAACATTATCTTTTTGCAGAAATGTACAATGCCAACATTTTCCCTGCTGACTGGGTTACTTTAAATACATTGGAAATACACTTATAATCCAATCAAAACATCCTTTTCTGTTTTTAACAGCAACAAGATCTAACTGCAGGAATCGTCCTATCGACCTGGTTTTCATCATAGACAGCTCCCGCAGTGTACGCCCTGCTGAGTTTGAAAAGGCCAAAGAGTTCCTGCAAGATATGGTGGACAGCTTGGAAATTGGCTCAGACGCCACACGAGTCGGCCTTGTCAATTATGCCAGCACAGTGCAGATTGAGTTTCTCCTCAAGACGTATTTTGCCAAGTCTGCCTTGAAGCAGGCACTGGCCCGTGTTGAGCCCCTTGCTTCAGGCACCATGACGGGCATGGCCATCAAGACTGCCATGGAGAAAGCCTTCACAGCAGAGGCAGGGGCCCGAGGTAGTTCCAAGAACATTGCCAAAGTAGCCATCATAGTGACAGATGGGAGGCCCCAGGACAAGGTAGAGGATGTATCAGCCACAGCTCGGGCATCTGGGATCGAGATCTACGCAGTGGGAGTTGACAGAGCTGATATGATGTCTCTCCGCCTCATGGCCAGCCAACCACATGATGACCATGTCTTCTATGTGGAGACCTATGGTGTCATAGAGAAGCTCACTTCCAAATTTAGGGAAACCTTGTGTGGTAAGGATGATGATCATGGGAGTGCGGATGTTCCATTAGATGGAGGAATTGATGATTATGGACTAGGTCCAGAGGGCAGAAAAGACGGTAGGCCTAATGGAATAAGTAATGAAAATGACGATAAAGGAAACAACGGTATGTCAGATCCGTCCTTTAAATTTCATCTGTGATCATATGGGCAGCACCATAAAGGGAATCTCCATTCTAAAGTCACTGGTCCTCTTCTTTAGTCTTAACAACAAGGGCAAGGTAAGGAGGGATTTACCGTTGCTTGTTGTGTTTGGATTTCCCACAAAAAGTTGTTCACTTACTGTTGCCAGATGGTGATAGTGTAGTTAATGGAGTCAACATGAACACAAAGTCATGTACTAACCAACTTAAAGAAAGGACAAACCTCTGATCATTGGTTGATCTGCCAATTCAGATCGAATTCTACAACCTTGAACACTTGGTGTTCAAGGTTGTAGAATTCGAAAATGGTAGAAACCTAACATGGTGCTGCCTATACGTTTCACATGGAGCGCGCTGCTTTTTGCATTCTGCATTGCATCTTGCTCCTCATGCTGCGTGCCCTGCTCGATTACCTGAAGGCGTGCTGAGCTACCCAGTTCCACAATTTGGGCTTTTGCAGTCTGTGCCAAAACATTAACGGCCACTCATCCTTCATGGCAAAAACTAAATTAGCTAAAATCTATTTGAGTGAAAACTTTTATATATTAAGAGAGTTTTAAGAAAAACTAATTTCAAATGTTACGTTATCTTTAAATGTGCTTAAAAATAAGTGTTGTCTTGCAAAGTTAGATGAGAACTTTGATACCTATCTTATACCCGGCTGTTCAATATGAAGCTGATGTCATTATCCGGTTAGCTTAGCTTAGCAGGGGGATAACAGGGGGAAACGATTAGCCTAGCTCTTTCTGAAGTGATTGAAGTTATTTCATTTGTTTAAAAATGAATAATTGGAAAACCAGCAGGTTGTAGTTTCAAAGGGGATTACGTATGAGACTTGGTTGGGTGCGTGACTTTCTGGTGTCTCTGCCAGTTGCCGGGCAACCTCATAGCAACAACATGATCGCAAGAAGAAGAAAAATGTCAAACTGTTCCTAAAAACAAAGCACAAACATTGATAGAGTGAAAATCAACAAAAGAGACATGTCCAACAAACAAACAAAAAAATGTAAAGTGTTTACATATTCTCTGCTAAACAAAATATTTATAATGTAATACTTAGTACTTTTTTGGCTACGGGAATGCCAGCTCAACTGCTCATTGCTATGATACATTTGGGCGATACCAAAACTTGGAAAATAAGAACTAGGAGGTTTTCAAAATGGGCTCATTTTTCTGCATTCTCTCACAATAACTGTGTTATCTTGCTATAAGTTTTGTGTTCCCTCACAATACTTTTGCAGTCCCAATATGGTGCGTTATCTCACAAAATATTGTGCATTTCCTCTGATCCATAGAGAAAGGCTGTCTGAAGATGTTCTTGAACTGTATATTGGTAACACATTTGTCATAACTAATAGCACAGTGTCCAAATTCTGAGAGTCTGGCTTTACAATTCTTTCTCTGCTAATGTGAATATATTAGGACCTGTAAAGAGTAGCTACAGTGCAGCTACAGCCATAACCATATCCATAACACTGTGCAGACAGCCGGATTTATTAAAACAGGAGGTGTTTCTGTTCTGCCAGTCACACCTGAGTTGGATGACTGAAAAACATGGCCAGAATGCCTCCTCTGTAGACACACCATGACAATAACCATTGAAACAGTTGTAACCATAGCTCTAGAAATAACCATATCCACAGTTACAGCGTCAGCTATAGCTCAACGCTCTGCTAAGCATGCAGCACCAGCTGTGGTTATCAGGGGGAATGCAAAAAAATTACTGAACGGTAACGCAAAGGTTATTGTGAGAGATTGGCTCAGTGTTTTTGGATAACTGTCCACAATTTAAAATGGATTTAAAAAAAGTCACATTTTAATTTCTCTTTCAAACTTTGGTACCACCCAAACTAGCAAGATAACTGCAAGGTTATCCATGCTATTCATGCAAGCTTCTCCCAGGTGTTGAACTTATTTTATGACTGACATCTAGCCAACACAAACTCAAAAACTTGTTTTTGATTGACAGCTTGAACCTCTGGAGTGACTTCAACCAACCTCTGTGTTTCACTGTGACCAACTTCTGTCCATCCACAACAGTGACGTCACAACCAAAGACATGCAATGATAAGAACAGAGTGTTGCCTTAGACTTTGTGTTTGCATGGTCTGAACTGCATGGAATAATCTGTAGGAAAATTAAGATGGATCATTATTCAGGTGTCTTAAATTCAATGCCAGTGCATCATCTGAATGTTGTCAATCATCTTTTCCTTTCTTCCCAAATAACAGGATTTGAATCAACAAAATGAATTTACTATATCATACTATAGTTGAAGCACAGAGATCAAGCAAACTAATCTGCATGTGGCTACATAGAATAACACAATTGCACAACTACCCAACACATACTTACAATTTACTAACACAGAAATATAATACAAAATGAATGATTTCCCTAGGCGTAAGCCAATCAGACAATGGACTGTTTCTTTTCAGGTTTGGATGCATGTGCTCAGGGACATAATTGCCAGCACATTTGTGTCAACAGTGGCAACTCATACAACTGCAAGTGTCGCAATGGCTATGTCTTGAATCCGGACGAGAAAACATGCTCACGTAAGAATCTTTATCTTTGTCTTAATGTTTTTGTCCAATGTCTCAGTGTCACAAGTATGTTGTTGTGTTTTTGCATGATTCACGGTCTTAAAACTACAGCTGAAAAAGGTTGATCATGGCTAAAAGTTATATTTTGAACATCAATTTGGGACTGGATGGGAAAAACCTTTTATGTATTCTAAGTAGACATGTCTAACTTAAAATATTTGGAACCTTGGATTGAAATACATAAGCTTTAATGCTCCTTTTGGACATCACTTAGTTAGGCACGTTGTGCTGTGGGCACACTGCATACCATCTCTTGTTACCAATGTTTTGGGTTGCCCCAGATAGATTAGGACAGACACTATTTAGCACAAATTAAGTGAGCAGAACATGAAGAAGGCCTGGACCGATGAGAGGCACAAATTGTAAAAGTAGTAATGGCCACTTAGTGGCTCTACAAAAAGGACAAACAGATCCTCTCTCCAAGTCACAGGCTTGAGTGAATAGTAGTGTTCAGTAGGTCAGCCACGACAATTGCACTTGGGTGTTTTGAACCTCGAATGAGGTTTGTCGCTTGCTGCCAACTTTCAGTTATGTAATTTAGAGCCCTAAAATCCAAATTAAGCTGTATGCAATTGTGTAAAGCACATATCCTGAAAAGTCAACAACCAAACTTCAATTTCACAGCCATCTGTTTTGACACACAGAGTGGTCAATAAAGACTTAATTAGGGTCTTATGGAGGGCACTGGCTCTATAGAAACAACCCCCATTAGCTCATCATAGATCTGCAAAGTTGAGCAGTCAAACGAAGGGTGATATGCACGTGTATGAAATAGAACTGACTCAGGGCTTATTCCAAAGGACATGACTGCCAACATACTTTATCTGTGCCAGCAATGATGACTGCTATACCTGCAAATGTCAAGGGCAATGAAGACAATGGCCTTTCTGTGGTATTAGTGTTTGCCAGTACAAGCCCAAAATGTCACTATACATATCAGCTCTTGTAGGTAATTGTAATAGTTTGGTCAATAGTGACCTGAAAATAACCATTAAGTTAACTTAGAGGTATGGTTTAAATGCATGGCTTAAATAAACTGTAAAGGAATTGGTGGCCCATTAAAGGCTCCACAAGAGCCCCTTGACAGATGTAATTAGATGTCAGTTACCTGTGGGGCATCTCTTTTCAAACTGGAAACCTGTGTTCAGGATATTTGTGTTAGTCTGAATGAGTCAGACTCTTGGGAGACAGAGAGTGGAATCAATTGTACCAATGGCCAGACAGAGGCTCCAACAGTCCAAGTCCTGCTTGTATTATGTCATGAGATGTCATATCACATGCCGACATGTCTCTTTTCAGGCTCTGATCCATGTGCCCATGGACATGATTGCCAGCACATTTGTATAACTAGCGATGATTAGTACATCTGCAGATGTCGAGTTGGCTATATTTTGAATCCAGACAAGAAAACATGTTCACGTAAGAACCTGGATATTTTTTAGAGTTGATGCAAGTTTGCTTCAGAGTCCATCAGTGAAGTGCTTGACTATAATGACCCACCGTAGGTTCAAGCACATAGTAAGGGCTTTTTAGATTGATGTAAATTGAGCCCATCAGATGTTTCTTTTCAGGTTCAGATACTTGTTCCCAGGGACATGACTGCCAACATATTTGTGTCAGCACTGATGACTCGTTTGTCTGCAAGTGTCGAATGGGATATGTTTTGAATGCAGACCAGAAAACATGCTCACATAAGGACCAGCTAGCTAGCGAGGCAGTTGTGGGCATTACTTGACTGAACAGGATAGGCTTTGGTTTATCTAAACTATAAAAATAATTATTGCCAATCAAAGGCTCTACAATGAGTTCCACAATAAGGGCTTCATGTCAGATGTGGCAGTTTTATCCTTCCAGGTTCGGATACATGTTCCCAGGGACACGATTGCCAACATATTTGTGTCAGCACTGATGATTCGTACATCTGCAAATGTCGTATGGGATATGTTTTGAATGCAGACCAGAAAACATGCTCACGTAAGGACCTGGAAATTTAAGGTAGACTTTATGCTTGTTTCCTTGCACAGATTTCCCACAAGTCTTGTTTTGTTACTTGACGAAACAAAAGCTGTAGAAATACATTGACATGTAGGTTGGTGCGGTCATTTTGTGTCACAACAGGAAGGTTGTGGTTTTCCTAGTCCTTTGATATTGTTGAATTGTTCTTGGAGCCACCATTGGGGGCCATCAAGGGAGCTGCACCTTAAGGCACTTCCACACTGGCTTCTGCTTCAATTTAGGTGGTAACTTCTTGGGTTTGGGTTGTTCTTAAAAGTGGGAATCAATTAATTAGTTCAACTTGAATTTCTACAGGGTCACAAACAGATCAGCTTTTGTGACTATTGCTGTGTGGTTTCCCTGAGTAGTGCACAACAAATGGTTGTTATGCTCAGCTACAGTCAGTTACATGTAGAAATGATTCTTTTCAGATTTGGATACATGTGACCAGGGACACAACTGCCAGCATATTTGTGTCAAAAATGGCAATTCTAACATATGTGTGTGCCATGAGGGATATGTGTTGAATGCAGACAAGAAAACATGCTCACGTAAGAATGCTTACCAAGAGATTTCATGTCCACTTCTTAGCACAGTGTTTAAGGTTTTCCTGAAAGTTAATTATTGTTGGTACTTGAGTAAAAGTAGAGCCCATTGGTTGAAGTTCTGAAGAATCCCTACAGTTTTGTTTGCAAAGTTCCACAATAAAGGCTTCACGTCAGATATAGAAGTTTGTTTTTCTTTTCAGGTTTGAATTCATGCTCCCAGGGACATGACTGCCAACATATTTGTGTCAACACTGATGATTCGTATATCTGCAAATGTCAAATGGGTTATGTGTTGAATGCAAACCAGAAAACATGCTCGCGTAAGAACCTGGACATTTCAGGTAGACTTTCTTTGTTTTTTGACACAGATTTCCGACAGATCTTGCTCGGTTTTTTGATGAACCAGCAAGAGCTGCTAAGGCTCTTTACTTTGGACTGTTCTGAGTGTGCAGTAGTTTATATTGAATTGACTTGGAAAAAGCATTGAATCGGGAGACTGGGATTGATACACAGAGAGTTTGAGCAAATGGCTATACGTTTTAAAGGACTTGATTGCTCATTAAGTGTGTTACATGAGGGAGTGTCTGTTTTCAGGTTCAGATACATGTGCCGAAGGACATGACTGCCAACATATTTGTGTCAGCACTGATGATTCGTACATCTGCAAATGTCGAATGGGATATGTGTTGAATGCAGATCAGAAAACATGCTCACGTAAGAACCCGGACTTTTCAGGTAGACTTAATTTTGTTTCTTGGCTCAGATTTCCCACAAATCTACCTTTGTTACTTGACGAAGCAGCAAGAGCTGCTAATGCACTTTACTTTGGACGGTTCTGAGTGTGCAGTAGTTTATATTGGGCCAAAAAAGCATTGACTTAGAAAACTGGAATTGATGCACAAAGGTCAAGCAAATGTCCATGACTAATCTATTTTGAAAGAATTGATGGTTAATTAACGTCTCAGCTATAATGTCTTTGCTGTATGTCTTTAGACTAAGTTGGTAAGTTGTGGAAGTGTTTCTTCCCAGGTTCGGATACATGTGCCGAAGGACGTGACTGCCAACATATTTGTGTCAGCACTGATGATTCGTACATCTGCAAATGTCGAATGGGATATGTGTTGAACGCAGATCAGAAAACATGCTCACGTAAGAACCCGGACTTTTCAGGTAGACTTAATTTTGTTTCTTGGCTCAGATTTCCCACAAATCTACCTTTGTTACTTGACGAAGTAGCAAGAGCTGCTAATGCACTTTACTTTGGAAGGTTCTGAGTGTGCAGTAGTTTATATTGGGCTGAAAAAGCATTGAATTAGAAAACTGGGATTGATGCACAAAGGTCAAGCAAATGTCCATGACTAATCTATTTTGAAAGAATTGATAGTTAATTAACGTCTCAGCTATAATGTCTTTGCTGTATGTCTTTAGACTAAGTTGGTAAGTTGTGGAAGTGTTTCTTCCCAGGTTCGGATACATGTGCCGAAGGACGTGACTGCCAACATATTTGTGTCAGCACTGATGATTCGTACATCTGCAAATGTCGAATGGGATATGTGTTGAACGCAGATCAGAAAACATGCTCACGTAAGAACCCGGACTTTTCAGGTAGACTTAATTTTGTTTCTTGGCTCAGATTTCCCACAAATCTACCTTTGTTACTTGACGAAGTAGCAAGAGCTGCTAATGCACTTTACTTTGGAAGGTTCTGAGTGTGCAGTAGTTTATATTGGGCTGAAAAAGCATTGAATTAGAAAACTGGGATTGATGCACAAAGGTCAAGCAAATGTCCATGACTAATCTATTTTGAAAGAATTGATAGTTAATTAACGTCTCAGCTATAATGTCTTTGCTGTATGTCTTTAGACTAAGTTGGTAAGTTGTGGAAGTGTTTCTTCCCAGGTTCGGATACATGTGCCGAAGGACATGACTGCCAGCATATTTGTGTCAGCACTGATGATTCATACATCTGCAAATGTCGAATGGGTTATGTGTTGAATGCAGATCAGAAAACATGCTCACGTAAGGACCAGGACTTTTCAGGTAGACCTAATTTTGTTTCTTGGCACAGATTTCCCACAAATCTACTTATGTTACTTGATGAAGCAGCAAGAGCTGCTAAGGCACTTTACTTTGGACTGTTCTGAGTGTGCAGTAGTTTATATTGGACTGATTTGAAAAAGCTTTGAATTAGAAAACTGGGATGGATGCGCAGAGGTCAAGCAAATGTCCATGACTAATCCATTTTGAAAGAAATGATGGTTAATTAACATCTCAGCCAAGATTTATTTGCTGAATGTATTTAGACTAAGTTGGTAAGTTGTGGAGGTGTTTCTTTCCAGGTTCGGATACATGTGCCCAAGGACATGACTGCCAACATATCTGTGTAAAAAATGATGATTCACACCGTTGTATGTGTCAAGATGGATATGTGTTGAATGCAGACCAGAAAACATGCACACGTAAGAACCAAAATTTTCATAGATTGTTTCCTGTGATTTTCATGACTGCCAGTTTCTTTGTATTCTCCACAGTATAGCAAGAGCTGGTGAGGCAGTTTGTACGATGGGCATCTCTTAGCTTGACAGGAAATGCTTTAGTTTATATGAACTGTAAAAATAATATTTGCCTATCAAAGACTCTACCATAAGGGCTTTGTGCCAGATGTGGAAGTTTTTTTCTTTTCAGGTTTGGATTCATGTTCTCAGGGACATGACTGCCAGCATATTTGTGTCAGCACCGATGATTCGTACATCTGCAGTTGTCGAATGGGATATGTTTTGAATGCAGACCAAAAAACCTGCTCACTTAAGAACCTGGACTTTTCAGGTAGACTTTCTTTGTTTCTTGGCACAGAATTCCCACAAATAGACTTATGTTTCTTGATGAACCAGCAAGAGCTGCTAAGGCTCCTTACTTTGGACTGTTCTGAGTGTGCAGCAGTTTACACTAAATTGATTTAAAAAAGCATAGAATCAGGAGACTGGAATTGGTGCACAGAGAGTTTGAGCAAATGACTATACATTTTAAAGGATTTGATTGCTCATTAAATTGTCATTTATGATGCGCTTGACTGTAATTTAATTGAGTGTGTTAGATGAGGGAGTGTCTGTTTTCAGGTTCAGCTACATGTTCCCAGGGACATGACTGCCAGCATATTTGTGTCAGCACTGATGATTCGTACATCTGCAATTGTCGAACGGGATACGTTTTGAATGCAGACCAGAAAACATGCTCACGTAAGGACCTGGACTTTTCAGGTATAGACTTTATATTTGTTTCTTGGCACAGATTTCCCACAAAACCTCTTATGCTTCCTGATGAAGCAGCCAGAGCTGCCTAGGCACTTTACTTTGGACTGTTCTGAGTGTGCAGCAGAAGATCTATTTATTACTTGAAAAAGCATACAATTAGTAGACTGGGACTGATGCACAGAGGGTTTGAGCAAATCACACCGCCCACTGCATTTTAAAAGAACTGATGGTTCATTAGTCTCAGCTTTGATGTGCTTGACTGATATAGCTTGTTTCAAGGAGTTACATGAGGGAGTGTCAGTTTTCAGGTTCAGCTACATGTGCCCAGAGACATGACTGCCAACATAGTTGTGAGTGCTAATGATTTGTATATAAGTGACCTTTGGGATATGTATTGAATGCTGATCAGAAAATGTGCTCATGTAAGCACCTTTGTCATTATAGGTGATGTGAAAGGTTTTTTTTGTATCTACATCTGCAAGTATCAGCTGGGTTGTAAAGACAAACTAGACAATGTGATGTCATCCGTACTTGTCATATTTTGGTGCTTGGGCAAGTACAGGGGAGAGGGCAGTCTTTTGCAGTTTATCATGACACAGGGGATCAGTAGTTAGAACTGGGCAACAAAATTTCTTAGTCACGGTTAGGGAAAGATCCTTAGTCACATGAGCCTCACATAACAAACAAGTGACTAACAACTAAATTAACTCAACGTTGACTTTTTATTTTACATCGGACATAAACACCGGCTTCAAAGTCATGTGCTTGCTGGACTCCTCCACCTCCAATCCCATCCGCCCTTAGTGTAATTTCTCCCTTTTTATACTACGTCTGTTGCTCTGAACATCTAATCATGATATGGATGGGTTAACATTGGAGTTGGTTGAAAGCCCGGTGCATCTCAGATGCTAAACGGTGCATTGAGTGTCCATATCTGACGCCGAGGGCCACTGACCAAGCAACGGTTTTTGACGCCCTGATGGTGATACCAGGTTGCACCAAAATATGTCTTGCAAGATTTAATATGCATGCCTTAGACCAGTGTCACTGGTTTATGACAAGCATTGCTTTAGTGCTTGATTAAACAAAGAAACTACCAGGTCTTCCTATGGCACATTCAAATTGGACTTGTGATTTTTCTGAATTAAAACATACTGTAATTGTGAGGTAACTGAGGTACTGTACAGACAGACTTTCTTCGTGCCTCTTGTGACTAATACTGCAGATTGCTCTTAGCACTTTTAGAGTCAGTTGTCAGACTCAGAACTGAATAGCTCCATGACTGACTGCTACAGAAAGATGAGCATGTGACCACAGTTAACATAAACAGTAAAAGGAACAATAGGCAGACAAGGGCTCCAACAGTCCAGGCTCTCCTTGACTGATGTCATTACATGTCAGTTACATGTGGATGTGTCTCATTTCAGATTCTGATCCATGTGCCCATGGACATCATTGCCAGCACATTTGTGAAAACAATGATGACTCGTACATCTGCAAGTGTCGAGTGGGATATAAGTTAAATGCAGACCAAAAAACATGCTCACGTAAGAACTTGGACCTTATAATATGCAAGTCTTAGTGCAGCATCACCGGCTTATTGTATTTTTCTTACAAGAGGTCTATGCTTGGCGAAAGGCAGAAAAACGCTTTGAGCATTTGCCAGGCCTTTGTATTTTTTCAAATTAATACTGGCCTATCCTGATGGTCTAATTGTAGCTGTGGAAGTATTTCTTCTCAGGTTTGGATACATGTGACCAGGGACATGACTGCCAACATATTTGTATCGAAAATGGTGATTCATACCATTGCAAGTGTCGTGAGGGATATGTGTTGAATGCAGACCAAAAATCATGCTCACGTAAGAACCTGAATTTACATATATTTTATATGCATGTCATCGTGCAGTGGTTTTCCCTTTAAGCCTGTTTTGTACTTGAATGTGTGTCAGAGAACACATTCTCTCGAGCATAAAAATACTTTAAGTTTGGTGTTTGGAGTTCTTGTAGGTTGTTGATGTACCTACAGGTGTGGAGCACATGGTCATGACGTGCTCCCTAATGGCTATAACTCAAATCAGTCAGTTACAAGTGTGAGTGTTTCTTTTCAGGTTCAGATTCATGCACCCAGGGAAATGACTGCCAACATATCTGTGTCAGCAATGATGACTCATACACCTGCATATGTCGAATGGGATATATTTTGAATGCAGACCAGAAAACATGCTCACGTAAGAACTTGAACTTAATCATTTGACTTGATGTGTTTGTCGTAGTGTAGTGTTTGTGGCTGACTATAAACTTCATCGTTATTATTGTATATACTAGATTAAATGCAGAAAGAAGAATAAAGCATTTGGCTATGGCCCTGTAATTTTTGAAAATTGAAAAAAGGAAGTTTGCTATGGATGTTAGCTGTGGAAGTGTCTCTTTCCAGGTTCAGATACATGTACCCAGGGACACGGCTGCCAACATATTTGTCTCAAAAATGGTGATTCTCAAGTTTGCGTGTGTCATGAGGGATATGCGTTGAATGCAGACCAGAAAACATGCTCACGTAAGACCTTGAATTTTACCTATACATTTGATGTGCATGTTGTGGTGCTGTGTCTAAGTTTCCCTCAAAATCTGATTTTCAGATTATGTCAGGGTAATCTCTGGTAAGCGCAGCTAAGGCTAGATAGCTTGTAAATTATTTTTTTACCTGGAGGTCTCCTGTTGCTTGTGACCAGTATTTTCCCAAGGAACTGTCTGACAGATGGAGAGTCAGCCATGGAGATAGGAACATTTTATCCACCACATATCCAGCCAAAAGCTTCATTAGTTTTTTGTTACATGTAGCCTGCAGCTGTCCACCTTTGGTGAGGTGTACTTCCTGGAGCTTCATGTTGTTGTATTGTAGAAGTAGATGTTTCAGACTGGAGGTTTGATGTGTTTTTTGCAGTGGAAAGAGTCTTAGCACCACTACCTGAAGAACAATGTTCTTGTCATCTTCCCTCCCGACAAAATATATTCCAAGCTAACTTGCTGCTTTGTGAGATGCATTCATGACGATTATGAAAATGAATCCAGGGACTGATTGGTTGTTTAATTTCAAATTAGTAATGTTAGTGGGTTGACAACAAAAGTAAGGTTTTAATTAGTTATTTGTTTTTGGAGTAAAATTTTTACTGAAATTTTATTACAAATTCGTTACACTATTCGTCACTGGGAAAAGCAATAATTTTACTGTAATGCATTACTGGTGGACACAATGCGTCAAGACTTGACTAACATAACTTGTGTGATAGAGGTCCATTACCAGACCCTGAGGGTGATTCGCTTAGAGGTTTGGTGTATGTGGCTATCATTTAGGTAAATTGTTAAGGAATTAGCAGCTCAATAAAAGCTCCACAAGCGCTCACAATTAGATTTCATGTCAGTTACCTGTGGAGTGTCTCTTTTTTAAAATTGGATACCCATGTCCAGGAACATGACTGCCAGGGTATTTGTATGGGGTCCATGTCATTGGTCCGACAGCCCATTAGTCCGATGGTCCGCGGTGCTGAATGGCTCCCGGCGGGCGTATTTCTGCCTTGATGGTGCGCCGCGACCAGCTCTGGGTCAGCTGGGAAAGGCTTGAGGCGAAGCAGGCCCACGGCTTATGTGTTTGTCACTTTTTTTTTCATTTTAACCCACACCATGATCTTTTCCTGACCCTAACCAAGTGGTTTTTGTGCCTAAACCTAACCAGACCTTAACCACAGGGCATCATGATGATTTTGGAACAACAGGACTTCGGAACAATGGGTTTAATATGGTCGGAACAATGGGATGTCGGACCAATGAGCTGTCGGACCAATGGGCAGTTCCCTTTGTATGTCATGCATTTTGGAGACAGAATGTAGCATTAATTGATACAACGGCCAGGCAGAGACTCCAACAGTCCAAGTCCTTTTTAAATGATGTCATGAGATGTCATGTCGCATGCTGACATGTCTCTTTTCAGGTTCTGATCCATGTGCCCATGGACATGATTGCCAGCACATTTGTATAAATAGCGATGATTCGTACATCTGCAAATGTCGAGTGGGATATATTTTGAATCCAGACAAGAAAGCATGTTCACGTAAGAACCTGGATATTTTTCTTTTAGAGCTGATGGAACTACTGGTTCAGTTACTTACTAAAAGCTTGTTGACTGATATAAATTGAGCCCATAAGATGTTTCATTTCAGGTTCAGATACTTGTTCCCAGGGACATGACTGCCAACATATTTGTGTCAGCACTGATGACTCGTTTTTCTGCAAGTGTCGAATGGGATATGTGTTGAATGCAGACCAGAAAACATGCTCACGTAAGGACCTGAACCTTTCTAAAAGATATAATTCCTTCTTTGATAAAGTGTAATAGATTTCCCAAAAATTTTATTATGTTATTTTCTGCAGTGGAAAAAAAGGGGGGGGGGACTGGCTAATTGCCAATTGTCACTTGTAACACTTTGTACTTTGCCAGACGCAGTTCATATCATTCCTTGTGAGCTAGGTTACGGTTTTGATATGGCATTTAGCTCATTGTGAACAAGTTTAGAAAGTACACGACAGCAGATTTCAAGAACCGTTAACAGGAAATTTGGCCAATCAGGGGGTTTCTCAGGTCAAGAGCTTCTTGACTGATGGTGTTAAGTTAAGTCAGATGTGGAAGTGTTTCTTTTCAGGATCGGCTACATGTGCTCAGGGACACGACTGCCAACACATTTGTGTCAACAGTGATGACTCGTTTATCTGCAAGTGTCGTGTTGGATATGTTTTGAATGCAGACCAGAAAACATGCTCACGTAAGCACTTAATTTGTTTCAATAATTATATGACTTTGTGGTGTGATCCAGCATCTTAGATGTTCAACAAAACAGCACATTTGGATCAAATCAAAGCACAACAGCTCAACTGGAGAATAGAAGCTGTTGGGGTAGTTGGTCTAGTGGACACACCTCATATCAACTCTTGAGAATATTGTCGGTGAAGATTCTTGAGAATATTGCTTTCAATTTTTTCAGGTCATTGTGAATAAGCAGGGGATATAGAGACTGGGAATGTTGAAATGTATTGGTCACGTAGCTGAGGCGTCTGCTTCATTTAAAGGGAACTGTAACTAAAGGTTCTGCAAAAAGCTAAGTGATTGTTTTTGATGTCATAAGAGTAAGTCACTGAGGTGTGAGCTTTTCTTTTCAGGCTCTGATTCAGATGCATGTGCCCAAGGAAATGACTGCCAGCACATTTGTGTCAACAATGGGAACTCTTACATCTGCAAGTGTCAAGTGGGATACGTGTTGAACATGGATCAGAAAACATGCTCACGTAAGAAACTTCGTCCTTTCAATAGACATTGCTACAGTACTTCAAGATAGTTTGAATTCTGCAACAAGAGCTGTTAACACTTGTATTGTGCTAGACACATATAGTGTTTTGTCAAGGAATTTCATGAATATTAAGGTAATGATAACCAAGTGCTCATTGACCTGTAATTACTCAGTCCAAGTCAGTTAGATGTGGGAGTTTGTCTCTCCAGGTTCAAATGCATGTGCTCAGGGACATGACTGCCAGCATATATGTATCAACAACGCTGACTCATACAACTGCAAGTGTCGAGTGGGATACGTTTTGAATGCAGACCAGAAAACATGCTCACGTAAGGATCTGGATTTTTTTCTCAACATAGATAATGATGTTTTTGTACTGAAACCTTTCAAGACATTTTCCATATTTTGAATCATTTCTAGCCTCAGTAATTTGTCACCCTACCCTCTTATATTATTGCATGTGAGCTGTCTTGTACAGCTTGTGTTAAGCTCGGCCTGACCAAGAAAGTGTGCCAGACTAGCACTAACTTACCGAAAGTTGTGGAATATGTGGACATGGTTTGGAGTCCTCAAAGGAACTGCAAGCAACCAAGTTTCAATAGCTGCCCGGGGGCTGCTCGAATACTCTTTGCCTGTAAAACTTGAAGAGGCTTTATCAAAGATGGGTTGGACCATGTGCTTGACTTGACAAGAGACATTCTCAAACCATCCTAAACTATGCAAGACGACTGAAGCTGAGATGGTCAGGTGAGAGTAAACTGTTTTCCAATTGCTATCTGTTTAGCCTTCCTAGTAATACACAATCCAGTATAGATGTCCTCTGTGTCATATAGGCTTGACCAGTTCCCCATACAAAGTAGCAACGAAATTTGCCCAGTCTTTTGTGGAAGCTGGCCTGACTGTAAACAAGGACACTATGACTTCACTATGCATCTACTTTTGTTTTGTATATGAACACACAAATGTAGACAAAGAGGGGAAAATACCAGTCAAGCACAATGCCATCTCTGTGTGCTGAATTTATTCAGCACACAGAGATGGCGGTACCATTCTTACCTGGTCTCATGGTAGCTCACTCTCTACCAAGGCAGTCAAGGTCAATCTAAAGTGTAGGATGTTATAGCAATTGTTGTACTTCTTTCATGCTGAAAAAGTCAATCTGGACAATGCAATGTGCTCTATTGGTATTCTAGCTCAAAAGGCAATACTAGGCACAAGGAATTGAGCTTGTATCTTAGCAGGTCAGTTAACTAAACTACCTTGCCCAAGATCTTGCCACAGACCTTAAGTGGTGATAAGGCTTCACCACTAGCTGTACAGCCCACAAGTAGAGAATTTGCAAAAGTCCTCCTTCCTTTAAAGCCTGTCAATATTGTAGCAATATAGAATGGATACCTTCTTCTTCCTAGAAAACCTTATTGTGATAGCTAGGTCCCAAAAGTGTGCCATGATTTACACTGCTCAGTTGACTCAATACCTGACTAGCTTAGGGTTTGCCATTGAAGTCTAGAAGAGTCCTAGTTGTTCCAAAATCAACTTCCTATCGAAAAAAAAAATCTCCAAGAACCAAAAACTTAAGAGAACTTGGAAAGAAGAAACACAAAGTGGCCGAAGTAGACAATCTCGTGGTTGTAAAACCTCATATCAATACATTTCACATTTGGAGGAGGTGCACAGTGGCTACAGCCAGACCTTTCCTGTGGCAACCGTGCTTCCATATGAAGGCAATATCTCAATGGAGAACCACAAATTCACCTCAGGGGTGTAGCTTGTATGAAATAGAATGACGTTAGGATCCCTAGTTTGTCTCACAGGATGTAGACAGGTATACACCCTGTCACCGGATGCCTACCTTTTACTTCCTGTGTTAAGCCTGATTTATGGTCCTGCGTTAAATCAACAACGTCGCTACATCGTAGGGTACGTGGCTACGCAGAAGGCTTTCCGTAGCCCCCGGCGTAGCCTGACGTGCACCTCCCCAAAAATGTAACTACACATCCAGGTGACACAGACCCAGCGCAGACCGAGAGGGCTGTGATTGGTTTGCTTGGTGGCAACACATTTCCGGTTCCGTATTTCCAGATTGCGCCATCCCCGCCATCTTTAAACATCTTCTGTTACGATGTAGATGTTGCAGTATTAAGGCCCATTTATGCTCAACGTTCAATACCGATACGGATGCCTGCTCCGCATTCATTTCTCTGTGACCAGAAAAGCCAGAAGCTAAACAAAGAATCAACTAGAGACGACGATAACCATTCAGGAAAGGAATGCAGCCTCCTACCGCTCTGGCGGTGAATTGCACTGCGACGAAATGGAGTGACGGAGGAGTTCGAAGGGAAGGGTTCACGACGGGTGACGGTGTCACGGCAACAACATAGGTACGACTTGTACAACGTAGGTACGCCGCAGGACCATAAATCAGGCTTTACAGTTTTCAAAATCCCATATAGCCAGACCTATCACCACACTTTGTTTTGGCACTGTGCATGAAACAACAACTTCTTCCAAGCTAGCAAGCTACACACTAAACCAAATTTTAATGTTTTGGGCATTTTCTTTCCATTTGTGTTGTTGCATCCTGCGCTTAGTACTGCCCATGATCATCATATTTGGTTCACAGTCATACAAACAACCCAATGCGTTTATTCCCTTAGTGCAGAATTATGCTGGGTTTAGCTAGACCTTTCTCCACTGCTGGAACAGTGGGAGATAGGTCTGGCTATGCAAGATAAAAGGGCCCCCATTTCTATGACTAAAGGTCTGTTACCCTGTCAAACAACCTACCGATTGCTTACAATTTGTGGATGCACACTGTATTGATAACTAGACATTTCATAAAGTTTCAGTGCACTGCTGCATGTTGGAACTTGGTCAAGCCTGTGACACTGCTAGGAGGCTTGCCTATGTCTGTCCTCTTAGGAATACAATGTATAAACTTTGATTCTAATAGTTATCATCCCTTTCATTTGTTTCCTTTTGTATTTTTTAGCTATGGAGAAGTCTGCAGTTGACTGCAAACAAAGCTGCTGTCCAACAACAAGCAATACATCTTCTGATCCCGTCATTAACAGCACAGTTTACAGAACATACAAGTGTGCTGTGCTGCTGGTTTAATGAATGAGAGACTGCAAAGGAAGTTGTGGTGGGAGCCCACCATAAACCTTGGTCCAAGTCAAGGACCAACCAAGAAACTGGTTTCAATTGATTTGCCTGTTTTCTGTTGTGATTATGTCTTTTTCAGTGAATTGGTCTTGTATGTATATGTGAGTGTATTGCTCAAACAATTAACATGTGTCCTCTTTAACACCATCCACGCCTGACCACTGTAACTGAGCACTCCTCTGTTGTGATTAACTAGTTGGAGTGATTGATTTTACATATTTCCTAATCTCACTCACAAAAGAAAAATCCTACTATATCTGATCTGTGCTATATTGTTTAAACAATATGTAGTTATGCTTTTGTTTCAATTTAAAACAACACCTGACTTTTTTCTGATTTTATCAGCTCCAAAATGTTCTCCTATTGAACACTGACATTGGCCTTTTGGAGGATGTGTTGTTTTTTTTCCTCCTATGCAGCAAATGGAGTGTTAGGAAGAGGCTGCACTAAACACCACAGAACACCACTCACACACGCTTTGACCTTCTCCATATTTTTGTCTCGTTCTTTCAGAGGAGATGAGAAGTGAAATAACTCAAGATGCCTGCATGTGTGAAGCTCAGATTGTGTTCCAGAAAAAAGTACAGTCAACCATTCAGGAGCTGAACAGAAAACATATCCTTTTGCTTGGAAGGTTTTGAGGGATCCACAGTTTGAATTTGATATACGATTTTCAAATGGTGATTAATATGTAAAAGACATGTTTGCTTTGCATTTTGTGCCTGTGGAAATGTTGGGCATTTGCACAAGCTCAATCATTTTGTTGTATTTTAAGTTTGAGTCTGCTGATTTGTAGTGGTGCATTTTTAGAAATTTGAAGTGTGATGATGGTAAACATTACAAATACACTTTTAAAAGTCTATTTCCTTGACTGCCCTGTTCACTTGAAGAGCTTTCAGACAAAGTGAACATGATTGATGGCCAACAGCAGTATTAAGGACAGAGATGAAGATGTCAGAAGACATGTTCAGAACTAGAAATGTATTCAATTCTTCTATCCAGCGGAAGACATTTTCAATAAAAATGTCTAAGATTTGGTAGAGGTCTGCATGGTATTTCACATGCAGTATACTGCTAGCATTACTGTTTTATATTATAAACCTGCATTTTGCATTCACAACACTGTCTATACTATATTTGTAAGAAAATCTACATTTCCTCCTGGCAGTGTAAGCCATTGAGTTGAGACTAAAGAAAATTAGGGAAATTACAGAATTGAGAGAGGTGAGAACTTCTAAAAAAAGAAACAATGTTAAACATGTTAAAAGTTTACTTTCATAATGAATGTCTTTGGTGGATAAAATGTTGTACCACATCCTTGTTGTGTATTCAATGCTCTGAGAGCATTCTTGGTCAGTGTTCTTGTGTTGTTGGTAGAACACAAAGCCTCCATACATAACCATAACACAACAACTAATCTCTGATACAACAAGAGCTTTGTTGTTACCCCTCTGATTGCAGCATTATTATGCAGAGAAAATACCAAAATAAAGCCTGATCCAATTAACCCAAGGCAGTGTTACATCACAGTAAATTAGACTACTATAATCCTTTTCTTTGATACCTGAAATATTCTTATATAACAGTTATATTGCGCAAAATCAATTGTAAATATTGTTTTGTTTGTAAGAAACAGGAACAGTTGTTTTAGGGGGAGAGGGAAAATAGTTCAGGGAGTTCAATAGTACTTTGCTAACTTGGTGAGTCTTGGACTAAAGTCTCTGGTAGGAGCCCTAAGAATTAAACACCATTTTCAATGCAATAACTTCTGAAAATTGAGAAATTTTAAGTCAAGATCCACCCAGTTTTTTCATCCAGTTAAAACAGTGTTTCCCTGCATGGTATTTTCTTCATATAATAGCTACACAAGGACTGTATTTTCTACTTTGTCATATTGTGCAAAACTAAGCATAAGTATAGAATAATTATGGTGTCTTTGTGTAAAACTGACAGTTTTGTGCATACTATGGTGCTTTTGTGACAGAAAAAACCTTGTCTGTATATTTTCTATTGGGTGTATATTTGCACGTGAAAAATAAATGTTCTGAAAGTATGGATCCTGTAAATCTCATGTTTTGTGTTTTTTTGTATGCTTATAGGCTACTTACCAAGCCACTTTATTAATTTAATAAATAAATTAATAAAATTATGATTTGGCTCTCAGAACAAATCGAGGCATCTTCAGTGACTATGATAACTCGCTGGAATAACTTTTTAATGCATTGGACAACGTCATTAAAAAAAATTGTAGGCTATTTAAATTACTTCTTATTACATTCCTTGTTTATTATGCTTTTCTAGTGATGGCCAGTTATGTAGTGGGCCTATTACTGTTTTAAAGTCGGCTTAAGTAAGTCCAGGAAAACTCTGCAATGCGAAATAAAGTAGTGTTAACTTATACCAAAGATACTGGTTTATCCACCGTCTTTGCTTATACTAAAAAAACTGGAAAACGTATGACCGGCTCAATGCTGTGATGTAGCCAAAGGGACTGAAGAAAACTGAAGAAAAACTACAACTACCAGAAAGACTCTAAACCCTCTTCCGGTTTACGGTTACCACGGGAGACCGAGGGAAGCTACAGCCTGAGCGTACTGAAGTCCGCTAAAACAAGCAATGAAACGTCGAATTTGAGCAGTGTTTTCAATACATTTGCTAACGTTATCAACTACAAACGTTGTCGACATTTTAATTTATCGTCTTTGGTTCTAGGGATGTTAACTGTGTCGTGTTTCCTAGGTAACTAGCAAAGCTAACGGTGTACAAGCTAACGTTGTAACGTTACTTCATATATCCAGGCCGTATGATGTAGCTTAGCTAAGCTAAAACTTTAGCTCACTTTAGCTGTCTAGTTTTCGAGGGAATTGGCGTAATATTAATGTCTTGGTTATGTTAAATCGTAATACGTCGTAAACAATTCATTTGAGACTGAAAAAGGCCTGTTACGTTATCACCATCACAATGTTTATCTACCTCAGCAAGAAGGTGAGTGTCCAAAACCTCACATCGTACCTAACCACCTAAAAACACGCAAGTTAGGACACAGAGCGTTGGTTAACAGTGCGGCTTCAATTTAAATTGTTTTATAGATCGCCATCCCCAACAACATCCATCTAAAATGTGTTTCCTGGAACAAAGATCAAGGCTTCATCGCCTGCGGAGGAGACGATGGTCTCCTCAGGGTGCTTAAGCTCGAAACGCAGACAGGTAAGTTCAGGGGATGGAGCAGCCTGCACAGTCCTGGTACACACACTCGTCATTCCCACGCTATTTGTATTTACCGCTGGCCTTGGTTGGTAGAGCAACAAGTAAATAGCAATGTGCATGAAAATGAAAACCTGAATCATTATAAAGGAAGTCTACAAAATAAACACATAATGCAGAGTTCCTTGACACAGGAATTGCTTTACACTATTTACCTGTGGCATCTGCTGGATAAACTACCCATATCCCACCTAAAATCACTAAATCTGGTGCTCATGTCCCTAGATATTATCCCTTTCTAGAACTGATGACATAATGATTACAGTAAAACACAATTGTGGTCTAGCCCAAGGTAAAAAACGCACAAGTGTAAAATTTGTTTTAAAAAATTGTCCACTGTCGAAAACCCATACACAGATGTTGGCTTAGCCTGGTTCAGATGTTCTTCGTCAGTGTTGCTCAGAGTGTGATGTGCTACATATATTTCATATGTTTATTTATTTATTGCTGTCATTTTTCATCACGATAGATTAAAAGTGGGCAGATGAAAAACGTAATTTTGGGTTGATGAATAATAGTCCCTACATTCAGCTCTGTGTTAAAGTTTATTTGTCACAGCCAAACCTCTTATGTCATACCCATGTGGCTGAGATTTGAGGGCTCTTACAGTGTGAAAGAAATCTTCTGAAAGTTTTATAAGCTTTTTGACTCTGTGTGCAGTCACTGAAAGAAGAAACGGTACCACCCCATCCACTCTTTTCCGCTGGACTGGTCCACTGTTATTATGCTCTTAAACAAACAGAGAAAACCCCCGAAAGAAAGAGAAAGATACAATAAAAACTGTAAGCTGGAAGGTACCCACAAACTACTGTTCCAAGGCTGTAGACGAATGGTTACCTTTTTAAAAAGTTTTTTTAACAGTTGCCCAACTGTTGTTTGAACATTGTTGTGGTTTGAAATTTGATATGTTTTTTTCTGCTTTCTCAACAGATGATGCCAAACTTAAAGGCCTTGCTGCCCCCAGTAATCTGTCAATGAACCAGACTCTAGAGGGACACAGTGGTAAGTTATATTACGCGGTTGCCAAACCTGTTATTATTATCATACTATGTTAGTAACAGGCAGCATTCACAAAAGTAAAGACAGCTAAGCAGTGCAAAAACTTGGAACAAGCCACAGGAAAATAATCCTACACCCTGATTTCTACACTTGTAGGTGCAGTGCAAGTGGTCACATGGAACGAACAGTATGAAAAGCTGACAACCAGCGACCAGAATGGACTCATCATTGTGTGGATGCTCTACAAAGGTGATTGCCGTCAAATTAAAAAATGCAAGTTGTCTTGTAATGAATATGGCTTTAATAGTTGTCTGTCTTCGCCCCTTCCAAAGGTGCATGGTACGAGGAGATGATCAACAACCGGAACAAGTCGGTGGTGCGGAGCATGAGTTGGAATGCCGATGGTCAGAAGATCTGCATCGTGTATGAGGATGGAGCGGTCATTGTTGGATCTGTAGATGGTAAAAACAGTTTTAATACATGGTGATCAGTCGTAATTTTTCCAACCAGATTTAACATAAAATCACCAAGAATCCCTTGACAAGGACTTCTTTGTTCACATGCTGAGGGAGTAAGTGTGAACATGTACAGTGGGATAAACACCCCCTTTTTTTTTGAAGGAAACCGGATTTGGGGAAAGGAGCTAAAGGGAAATCAGCTTGCTCATGTGGCGTGGTCGCCAGACAGCAAGATCCTCCTCTTCGGCATGGCCAATGGGGAAGTACAAATCTATGACAACCAAGGAAACTTCATAGTGAGTGCATAAGCTTAAGTAGAAGAAGTGTAATTTCATTTTAGTTTGTACCCATGTAGAACTACATGGCTTCATGACCTGTATGATGCTAATATTGTGAAGAAAAATGCAATGTAGATTCAGGTGTGCAGAGGGAGTGCAGGCTTTCAGCATACATGGGAACAGCAGGTTTAGGGAGAATTTATTATCATGCATTATCAGAAGACATTTTGTGAAGCAAATTTATAGCCACCTTAAAGCTTTAAATTGATATTATCTTTTTGATTTTCCAGAAATAATTGTAGAATTTGTAAAGCCCCTAATTGTAGGATGTGAAAATTTCTGACTTTGGCAACTCCTGTGATATTAGAAAAGACGCTGCATACCACTATCAGCGTCATTGCTTGCTTAAAGGGATAGTTCAGATTTTTTGAAGTGGGGTTATATGGGTTACTTATCCCTAGACTGTGTATCAGAAGCAGTAGATATCAGTTGGCACATTCCCAGTTTGGAGAAACATGCACGGAAGAGTTCAGCACGGAAAATACACAATATACTGCTGTGGAGGGGTCAGCAACAACACATATTTTAACCACCCAAAAAAAGTCCCACCTAAAAAATCAATATCAGTTTAAGTGTATGCTCTTCTGAGAGTATTTTCACAGCTTTACCTTAATGCCAGACAGTGATTTCCAACTGGAAAATGAAGCTTTTTCTTTGAAGCCAGACTTCATTGGGTTTCAAAAAATGTGATTTAGCGTTGCTGAACACAGGAGCTGCTGGTCTACCGCTCTCTCGATAAGTTTGTTTGTTTGTGTTATTGTGTGGCTTTGGCATTTAAAAGGGTTAGTTGGGATTTACCAAATTCACACAGTAGCACAAACTAACTAACTGATCGAAGCAGCAGCACCATGTTCAGCTAGCTAAAATGACTGTTTTTCTCCATGGAGCCTGGTGGCATTGATGAGAGCATATTTGGGGAACTGAAGCTTGTAACGGTTTCCAAGTCAAAATGGGCTGTCTGATGGAAACGTAAAGCTGCAAAAGTACTCTCAACATAACGTACACCTAAACTGGTATGGATTTTTATAGGTTGCTAAAATACATTTTGTTGCTGACCCCCATCCACAGCACTAGATTGCTTAGCTTCTGTGTCGGACTCCTGCTGCTTGTCCAAACTTGGGGCATGCTGACTGACATGTACTGTATGTGATACACTGACTATTGATTAGTACCTCAAAAATCTGAACTAACCCTTTATAGGTACATTTTGTGTGGTGTACCCACATGACATTGATATAAAATAATAATCTGATGTTATGTTTCAGATGAAAATGACCATCAGCTGCCTCACCAATGCAACCGGAGCTGTCAGTATTGCAGGTATCCACTGGTACGCAGGAACTGGCGGCTACATTGAACCAGAGTGTCCATGTCTCGCTATCTGTTTCGACAATGGACGATGCCAGATCATGCGCTACGAGAATGATGAAAGTAAGAGAGAAAAAAAGAACTTCAGAGACTGCAGTATTTTCTTATGCTTGAATGAAATGTTTACCAATGGTGATAAACTATGCTGTTGTCCTTTTTTTTCCAGACCCAGTGTGTATTGACACTCTGATGAATGTGGTCAGTATCCAGTGGAATCATTGTGGCAGTGTCCTGGCAGTAGCAGGTTCTCTCAGAGCCTCAAATCTGGAGAAAGAATTCAATGTTGTGCAGTTCTACACACCATTTGGAGAGGTGAGAGCGAAGATTCTGTTCCTTTGCTGATTGCTTACAGAGTTTTATACATGAAGGTCAGGCATGTGCAGTACACTATTATGCAGTGTTCCTGTCAATATCATATGTGAGACCAAAAAGAAATATTTACAAAGAATGAGCTGAATTGATAAAGCATACAATACCTTTTGTCTCTTGTTTAAGAATGAAATATCTTGCAATTCCAGTTTTGCTGTTGTGCCATCCAACATTGTGCTTGAGTCATTAGTATTGATTTTATAATCATCCATTGTATACCCAGAACCCCTACTGACCCCAGTGTGGAAATACAAATG